TATTTAAAATTATAATAACGATAGGGAATGTATTTAGCGATGTCTAATATGGCGTCAGTTTGTAACCACCTTCACTGTTTAGTGGACAGCACCTGTACGTGGCGGATTCGTATGTCATTGAGTGATTCACTCGAGTACAGAACACATGCACGAGGTCCATATATTATGCATACCATGTTAACTACGATAGAAAATATAAAAGAGATAGATATAAATAATGGTAGATATTAATTTTATGCGAGGATTCTCTGAGACATGAAAACTATTTCAAGGGATTTACAAAGGTTGAAAAGGTTGAGGAATGCTGGTTTACATTGTGCCAATGATTGGGTATTGACATCAACACCGTGTGGGAGGTAGACACCCTGGTGCCTGTGGTTATACGTAACATGGCAAGTCGATTTTGTACCAAGTGTCCTGATAAATTGCTTTCGCTGTTCAACATAGAGTGCGATGGGTAAATTCTCGCCATTTTATATTTTCATTAATTTCGCACATGCGTATTGCTTGCTTATAATTTTGTCGACTGCCCAGTGAGAAAAAGAGCATTATTACACAATTCACTCCGCCAGAAAATTGGAAACGACATGCTGTACTTCTTAGCATTCGCACCGGAAGCACCAATACGAACATTTCAGAGTGTTTGGGTGTCACTCTGAGGACAGTGCAGAGTATTCGGAAAGAGTTGGATGATATATTCAGTCAATATCATGGTGTTTCGAGTGATCACTAGTTATGGCGATGTTATACTTCCATTCATCTTCCCACAAGGCTCAACACGGTAGCCTACATCAAGAACCTTGAGGTGGTAGTGCTTCCCTGGGTATCTATCTATCTATCTACCGATCAAACTATCTCAGTCTTTGCATTATATATCTGTATGTCTATTTATCTATTTCACTTTCTCATTATATATCTATCTCAGACTTTGCATTATATATATATATATATATATAGATAGATAGATAGATAGATAGATAGTATTAGTAGTAAATACATATATACATATGCAAAATATATAAATATATATACATACATGCATACACACACATATTTTTTGAATAAAAAATTCCAAGAATCTATCTATCTCAGTCATTGCATGATCTATCTATCTATCTATCTATCTATCTATCTATCTATCTATCTATGTCTTTGCATTATCTATCTATCTATCTATCTATCTATCTATCTATCTATCTCTGTTTTCCTGTCTATCTACCTCAGTCATGAGATTATCTATCTATATATCTATCTCAGTCTTTGCCTTATCTATCTATCTATCTATCTATCTATCTATCTATCTATCTATCTATCTATCTCAGTCTTTGCCTTATCTATCTATCTATCTATCTATCTATCTATCTATCTATCTATCTATCTATCTCTGTTTTCCTGTCTATCTACCTCAGTCATTAGATTATCTATCTATCTATCTATCTATCTATCTATCTATCTATCTATCTATCTATCTATCTCAGTCTTTTTTATCTATCTATCTATCTATCTATCTATCTATCTCAGTCTTTGCCTTATCTATCTATCTATCTATCTATCTATCTATCTATCTATTTCTGTTTTCCTGTCTATCTACCTCAGTCATTAGATTATCTATCTATCTATCTATCTATCTATCTATCTATCTATCTATCTATCTCAGTCTTTGCCTTATCTATCTATCTATCTATCTATCTATCTATCTATCTATCTATCTATCTATCTCAGTCTTTGCCTTATCTATCTATCTATCTATCTATCTATCTATCTATCTATCTCAGTCTTTGCCTTATCTATCTATCTATCTATCTATCCATCTATCTCAGTCTTTGCCTTATCTATCTATCTATCTATCTATCTATCTATCTATCTATCTATCTATCTATCTCAGTCTTTGCCTTATCTATCTATCTATCTATCTATCTATCTATCTATCTATCTTTGCCTATCTATCTATCTATCTATCTATCTATCTATCTATCTATCTATCTATCTATCTCATCTATTATCTATCTATCTATCTCCATCTTTGCCTCATCTATCTATCTATCTATCTATCTATCTATCTATCTATCTCAGTATTTGCCTTATCTATCTATCTATCTATCTATCTATCTATCTATCTATCTATCTATCTATCTATCTCAGTCTTTGCCTTATCTATCTATCTATCTATCTATCTATCTATCTCAGTCTTTGCCTTATCTATCTATCTATCTATCTATCTATCTATCTATCTATCTATCTATCTATCTATCTCAGTCTTTGCCTTATCTATCTATCTATCTATCTATCTATCTATCTATCTATCTATCTCAGTCTTTGCCATATCTATCTATCTATCTATCTATCTATCATCTATCTATCTCAGTCTTTGCCTTATCTATCCATCTATCTATCTATCTATCTATCTATCTATCTATCTATCTATCTATCTATCTCAGTCTTTTTCCTATCTATCTATCTATCTATCTATCTATCTATCTATCTATCTATCTCAGTCTTTTTCTTATCTATCTATCTATCTATCTATCTATCTATCTATCTCAGTCTTTTTTTATCTATCTATCTATCTATCTATCTATCTATCTATCTATCTATCTATCTATCTATCTCAGTCTTTTTCCCTTATCTATCTATCTATCTATCTATCTATCTATCTATCTATCTATCTCAGTCTTTGCCTTATCTATCTATCTATCTATCTATCTATCTATCTATCTATCTATCTATCTATCTCTGTTTCCTGTCTATCTACCTCAGTCATTAGATTATCTATCTATCTATCTATCTATCTATCTATCTATCTATCTATCTATCTCAGTCTTTGCCTTATCTATCTATCTATCTATCTATCTATCTCAGTCTTTGCCTTATCTATCTATCTATCTATCTATCTATCTATCTATCTATCTATCTATTTCTGTTTTCCTGTCTATCTACCTCAGTCATTAGATTATCTATCTATCTATCTATCTATCTATCTATCTATCTATCTCAGTCTTTGCCTTATCTATCTATCTATCTATCTATCTATCTATCTATCTATCTATCTATCTCAGTCTTTGCCTTATCTATCTATCTATCTATCTATCTATCTATCTATCTATCTATCTCAGTCTTTGCCTTATCTATCTATCTATCTATCTATCCATCTATCTCAGTCTTTGCCTTATCTATCTATCTATCTATCTATCTATCTATCTATCCATCTATCTATCTATCATCCATCTATCTCAGTCTTTGCCTTATCTATCTATCTATCTATCCATCTATCCATCTATCTCAGTCTTTGCCTTATCTATCTATCTATCTATCTATCTATCTATCTATCTATCTATCTATCTATCTATCTATCTCAGTCTTTGCCTTATCTATCTATCTATCTATCTATCTATCTATCTATCTATCTATCTCAGTATTTGCCTTATCTATCTATCTATCTATCTATCTATCTATCTATCTATCTATCTATCTCAGTCTTTGCCTTATCTATCTATCTATCTATCTATCTATCTCAGTCTTTGCCTTATCTATCTATCTATCTATCTATCTATCTATCTATCTATCTATCTATCTATCTATCTATCTCAGTCTTTGCCTTATCTATCTATCTATCTATCTATCTATCTATCTATCTATCTATCTATCTCAGTCTTTGCCTTATCTATCTATCTATCTATCTATCTATCTATCTATCTATCTATCTCAGTCTTTTTGCCTTATATCTATCTATCTATCTATCTATCTATCTATCTATCTATCTATCTCAGTCTTTGCCTTATCTATCTATCTATCTATCTATCTATCTATCTATCTATCTATCTCAGTCTTTTGCCTTATCTATCTATCTATCTATCTATCATCTATCTATCTCAGTCTTTGCCTTCTATCTCATCTATCTATCCATCTATCTATCTATCTATCTATCTATCTATCTATCTATCTATCTCAGTCTTTGCCTTATCTATCTATATATATATATATATATACATGTTTATGTATTGAAGAATGTGCTGTAAATTTCTACGACCAAACCAAGCAGCCATTAGTTTGGTCATTTGTTGAGTTTGGAGTACAACAAGCCAATAGGTTTATCTGATGATGCTTTAATCAAATTGAAACACGTTAGAATGGTAAATATTTCTGTTTGTTCTTTATCCTATTTATCTATCACAGACTTACATTATCTATCTCATATATATATATATATATATATATATATATATATATATATATATATATAATAAATGTGATATATATATATATATAATAAATGTGATATATATATATATATATATACATATGTCTATATATATCTATATATATGTTTATATATATATATATATATATATATATATTGAAGAACGTGCTGTAATTTTCTCCGACCATACCAAGCAGCCATTTGTATGGTTATTTCTTTAGCTTAAAGTGTAAGCCGATAGTTTTACTGCAACCATCGTGCATATCTGTGAAAATGTGTACGTGAGCGTAGGTATGTGGACGTCTGGGATCACAAGAATGCTTATATGTATGTATATATATATATATGTGTGTGTGTTAGTGTGTATGTGGGTGCAATTCATTTTTTCCGTCGATATGCGTGTTTCTACTGTAAGACCAAGATGTTATCTTTTCTTCTTAATGGAGAAAGCCACCTCCACTTCCATCACTATCCCCACTGCCATCACCAACTACAACAACAACATAGAAATGACTTCTTTCTCTTTAGTGTTATTTTTCGAATTTTATTCATATAGATGAGTTTGCAGATGGTAATGTTCGGGTTCAAGGCCAGACATTTCAAGTCGAAGTCAATATTAATCCGGGATTGAGGACTGCTGTTTTATGTTGACAATGACACTGAGATGAACAAACGCTGGTTGGGAAACGATATCATTTTAAACAAGCGTGTTTCGTGAAAGTGTTGTCAACTGTCATTTCTAGTGTTATGAATAGTGTTGTCATTGATGTGTCTTTCTCCTTCTGTGTTCCTTATCTTGCGATCAGCTCCGGCTGACCAAACGCTGTCCGGGAATCATAAACTTTGTAGGAGGAAAGGAACAAGACAGAAAAAAAAAAAAAAAAACGAACTGGCAATAAGGTTGAAATAAAACAAATCGAAATATGAAAAAGAAATGAAAGAAAAATGGACGGGAAAATATGGCTTAGCGATATAAATCAGAAAATGAATATTATGAAAAGCGAAAAAGGAAAAGAAAAAGAAAATGCGAAAAGAATGTTGAAGGGGAAAAGAAATAGGGAGAAAAAAAAAAGAAAGAATGAAAACGCTATTAGAATAATGTCGAAAGAATTCCATGTTTGTCGTACGAATCAAAGAGCGACAGGAAAACGATAAACTAAATTTTGCCTCAGTGTCCCCATCTTACATCAGCAGAAGAAAACAATCCATCCTGCTGAAGGATTTACTCTCCAGCTTTTAAATAAATTACTAAGAAATGGCGGTTACGACATAAGCGGCAAAATTGTGCTTGCATAACAATTTTTAAAATCATATTTGAATAAATATTTTATCTGTGTTATTTATTTTTAATACAAATCTTAATAAATTGACCTATACAAGCAATATTTCTTTCCGTACACTTTGTATTATTCATTGTCTTTGTATATAAAAAATTATATCTGCCTTGTCAAAATTTAGTCGTACGTTAGAAAAACTATTACCATCGTAATACAGTGTCACCCGGATATAAGAGACCCGGATATAAAAGAAACCCGGATATAAGAGAGATTTTCTCTGGTCCCAAAGTGTTCCCATACTTACCTAAACAAAATAGACCAAACCCGGATATAAGAGAAACCCGGATATAAGAGACTTATTCTCCAGTCCCGACAACTCTCTTATATCCGGGTTACACTGTAACAGGCTTTGTTGTCGTCTGATATTTCACATTAATACCAGTTAATCGAGTGGAGCCATATTATAAAATAATCTATTTAATTAGATTCTCTTAAAACTATACCGAATGAATTAAACAAGTGATAAATTGTACGTTTGCTAAATTATTATTATTATTATTATTATTATACACTTTACAATCTTGTTCATATGTTTCCAGCATGGTCAGCTCTATTTTGATTTGTCAAGAGTAGAAAATTTAAATGGACTTAGCAGAATGACGAAAAGATCTTTAGGAAGTATGTTATGATAAAAATGCCGTTTATACTTCGATTACAACTGTTGTGGAGTAGCTTAACACCCCCACAAGATGTATTGGTCTAAGAATATTTAAACAGCATTTTCTCTTACTGAGCGAGAGGATTTAAACGCTAACTGTATATTACATTAGTTTGTACCGTGTATTCTCCAGAATAAACTACTTATTTTCTGTGTCAATCTTTCCTATTTACGACACAATAACGCCATATTTTTCAGAGTTTGTAGATTAGATATTTAGCTAGTTCATTTAAAGTGTAAAAGCAAAAAAAAAAAAAAGAAACAAATAAAACAAAATGTAAGACGGGTAAATGAAAATAAAATGAGTGAAAGAAATGATGACAAAATTAATTAATAAAGTGTGAGTTTGTAAACAAACAAGGAATGAATATAAGCAATGTAAACCAAATAAAAATAAAAATAAAATATTTAGGGAAAAGAAAGAATGAATTCGCCCTTGCATGAAAAACTACAGCTATATATGGAGACCTCGCAATTCGTCTCAAGGTCCTCGACAAAATCCAGAGAGGATATGCAATGTTGTTTGTCCTGGTGTGGCATCTCGGCTACAGCCACTTTCTCACAGACGTACCGTCGCTTCCTTTTGTCTTTTCTACAAGTACTTTCATGGTAACTGCTCCGACGAACTATTTTCGTTGGTTCCGAAACTGAATGAATTTAAGCGTGTAACTAGGATGGCATCTCAGTCCCATCCTTTCACTGTCGAAACGGTTAATCGTAGCTGTCTCTTCTACTTCAATAGCTTCCTGTCTCGCACTTCCCGTCTGTGGAACGCCCTTCCTCTTACTCTCTTTCCTGGCAGTAATAATCTTCAAATATCCAAATGTAATATCAATCGACATCTTCTGATGACTTGATCTAATCCCCCGCCCTTCTCTTTATGCTTTCCTCAGTCACGTCTCTTTACTCTTGCTCCCACTCTATGTAACTCCTTGCGTGATAGTGGCACTCCATTCTTGATTGAAATGCTTAAGTAGACAAACGAGATCAAGAAAAGTAAACATATATAGTGAAAAATAATGAATAAAAAACGAAAGAAATGCAAACAAACTAAATCGAAAAATGAAGGGGTTTACAAAACAGATAGAAAATGCCATTGGTAGAAATGTGTGCGATGAATAATCAAGAATTGTCTCCTCTTGTTTTCTTTCTCTCCTCTTGGAGAAAGATAATTCTCTTTACTGGGACTATAAAAGGACACTAAACGCGAATCTTGTATTCTCAGTTGAATAAAGCTTTCTTTAAGCCTACACCTGCGTACTTTTGACATTACACTGTGGACAGACGAAATCGAGAAACGAACTGATGCAGGAAAAGGAAAGGACGAAAAATGAAACAAAAAAAAAGACGAAAGCAAGCAAGCAAGAAAGAAAGAAAGAAAGAAAGAAAGGAAAGAAAGAACTGTGGATGGAAGAATTCGAGAAAAGATCTGATATGGAAAAATTAAAAAGAAAAAAAAGACGAAAGAAAGAAAGAAAGCAAGAAAGAAAACGAAAGGGGTCATTATAAAAATAAAAAAGAATAAAAGATAGAAGAAAGAAAGAAAAAGAAAGTCCAAATGGAAAAGGAATAAATACGTAATGTATGAACGAAAAGCATGAGATAAAAAAATAATTCGAAAGACAAAAGAAGTCTGTAGAAAAGAAATGAATGAAAGAAGGAAATTAAAAAATTACAAAAAAAAAAAAGAAAAAAATGCATATGAACGAAAGAAAGTAAAAGTAAGCATGGAAGAAGAAAACACATTATAACAAAGGAATGAACGAAAAGAAAGAATAAAGAACGAATGAAATCGCATAATTCAAGAAGAAAGTACTACTAAACAACGTACTTTAGAGAAAATAAAGAAAGATGAAAGAAAAATGTGTTCAAAAGGGAAAAAAAGAAGGATTAAACACAAAAAAAAAACACAAAAAGAAATGTATGAACAGAAAATTAAAAGGTGTGAATAGAACAGAAACACAGGAGAAATTTATGAGCAAAAGAAGAAAAAAAATCACATGAGAAGAAAAGATAGAAATTTATGAACAAAAGAAGAAAATAAATCACATGAGAAGAAAAGATAGAAAAGAAAGAACTTTATAGAAAACGAATGAAATGGTAAAAAAAGAAAAAAAAAGACAATGGAGGTGAAAAATAAATAAAATCTTAACAAACGGAAAAACACAAGAAGAATAAATAACGTATGAATGAAAAAGAAAACGAGAGAGATTGAATGAAAGAAAGAAAAGAAAGAAAAAGAAAGTAGGAAAGGAAAAATGAATAAATAAAAGATTTATGATCGAAAGAGAAAAAGAAAAAAAAGTACGAAGGAAAAAATGAACATTAGTGAAAAAAACGAACGAGGAGATGATAAAAAGAAAAACAAATAATTACAATAGAAAAAAAGAAGGAATAAAAAAAAAACATAGACGAAAGAGCCTAAGAAAGAAAAAAATACGAAGGAAAAAATAGAAAAGAAAGAAAGTTAATGGATTGTCAATGAAAAACCAAACTTTTGCCTGGCAACACTGAGTAACGGTGAAGTTATGCAAAGATTTGCCATCTGGTCAAGATATTGAAGGCTCACGTGATGAAAAATGGCAGTAATTTTTTTTTTTTTTTTTCGATTTAGAAATTACGGTTGGAATGGAAGGTTTTTTTCATCGTCGATTATTTTGCTTGACTTAATTAGTCTAAATTTAGAAACAAACAAACTGGAGATGGACATGAGACAAAGAAAGGCAAACCTTTTACGGGGCTTAAGGTTCCTAAACTAAAAGTTAGGTGTACGCACATACTTCCGACGCAGAAACGCGTATATATGTGAATATAAGTCTGACACGAACACAACAATTTTCGGCTCACGTAAACACGATAAGACATAGAGACACATGCGTAAATCCATAGGTGTATATCCATACGCATATCTAAAATACAAATCACAACGTTTGCACCAGAAAATTAATTAAATATTAAGTCGAGTCAAAAATATTGGTTTTTATCAACTTCAAAAAAATAAAGTGCTATTACATTTTATTTAATTATATATTCTCCATTATTTGATATAATTTGTTACCACTTATCATTAACAATATTAACAAATTTTAAAGTGAAACACGTTTTCACATAAACTGTTCATCCTGAGGTACAACGATAAACGACACCCGGTAGCAAAACCTCTGATCGTGAGATTTTGAGGAGCGTGGAGCTACCTTTTAATTGCTGTTGTTCCCAGTTCCCCGCTGATCCATGGTGGTATCACCTGTCAGGGTCCCAGATATGGGCAAAGAGTGAACCCCCAAAATGGAGTCAAAATATGGAAATATAAAAATACATTTGTGACGTCGTCCCCCGGTCGCAGCGCCAACTGTGACGTTCTATCCTGATCTACCACGGCGTCAGTTGTGACGTGGCCGTTCCAGGGTCCTATCCCGGTCACACCAGTTGTGACGTCCCTAAACAGCACCAATTGTGACGTCTTCGCCGCGGCGCCAGCTGTTCGCTCCTCGCTGCTCCGTCCGGGTGTCGCTGCTCCAAACGTGAGGTCCGCCTGTCGCGTCAGTCGTGTTGTCTCGTCCTGTGACGACCAACTGGCTTGGTATCGGTTGCGGCACCCAAATGTGTTTCGGGTGGGAATCTGGTTAGATTTGATATCAGCCTCGCCGTTCCCAACTCGCTTCCAACGCCTGGTTACCAAGGTAACTGCACTGATCTCCAGTCTGCCTACCCACGTTGTGAATTGATCTTAGACAGACGAGATCAAACAGTGGTTGGGGCCGTAATGCAAATTGAGTTCAACGGGGGTGATAACACACAAATATGCATAAAAGAAAATAAAATGAAAACTCAAAAAGTTCAAAGTATCAAAGAAAAAGGTAACAAACTTTATGTCTAGTTGTTCGATACATAGGACTGCATCTATCTCCCGACCCGTTCTGTGGATTGTGACACGTCGTTTTCGCTAGGCAAGTTTTAACGCTTCAAGTTGTTTGCTCTCTAAGAAATTTGTGTTTCGGTGTGTCTTTGGACGAAAGTCGAAAACTTATTTCTGTGGTCTGGTTCTAAGTCGCTCTTCAAAATAATTGTTCTTGGTTGAAGAGGAGACCGAAATTTTGCGTGAATCTTGGTCAGCTATCTTGAGGCGGCTTCAACTCTGGAAACTCAACTCTGCCGCCAGGGCCCGAACTTTCTGGACACTCATCTCTGCTGTCAGGGCTCGAACTACTGGACACTCATCTCTGCCGTCAGGGCCTGAACTACTGGACACTCATCTCTGCTGTCAGGGCTCGAACTAACTGGACACTCATCTCTGCCGTCAAGGCTCTGAACTACTGGAACTGATTTCTGTCAGGGCCCGAACTGGTTGGGGGCTTGACTTTTATTGACGCCGACAAAAAACCGGGTTGGGTCTGTTGGCGTCGAGGGGTTCCTCGATAATTCTAAATACATATCCACCTTTTTATTTCTGGTTAGGGATTTTCCACTCTTTTCCATTTTTGTAACTTTTTTTTTTCACACCCACTTTCTCACCATGCTTCTGAGGGGCGTGAACTGCCCTCCCCACTTCTTCGTAGCGGCTTCTCATACTTATACTCTGGATGGGGGCGTCGACAGCCTTCTTCGTGCGTCACGTGATCCTCTCGGCCAATGAGGTCTTGGTCGGGTATCTTTCCTCCTCCTTCGTGCGTCATGTGATCACCACTTGACCAATGACGTCTTAGTCGGGCGTGAACAACCCGCGGCTTTGTTTCGGGAAAAAATACCTTGCTTAACTAAAAAATAATTATGAATCTCTCTTTCTTTTTTTCTTCCTTTCAAATCGCCGTTATCATGAACGGATAATATGACAACTCTTTGTTCAACACGTGGCGTTTGTCAAGCAGTTTATCGCCAATTCATCAGACAGCTGGATTATCTGACATGGTCTCAGAAAGAATTTTCTCAAGTTTTCAATCAATCTGACGTCTCCAAAGAAGAAATAAAAATATTTCTTATTCCATTCATTTTCCTTCGGTTCATGTTTCTGATAACAAAATTTTATTATCGCAGGGCAAAAGTTTTTTGTTTGTCAAAAAAAACTTAGTTAGTGAAACTACTTGTGTGGGATTTTAATTTTCCATATCTAGCTAAGGCTCCAAGCCTACACCTGTGTTTTGTCAATTTTCAAAATCTAACGTTTTCAAGTGGACTTTCTTTGTGAACATTTCTTGATAACACAATTCCATTTTTCGCGGATTAGCGGAAATCGGTCAATGATTGCTCGCATGTGGCCTTTAATTTTCATATCTCTCCAAAAGTCTTTTTTATTGTCCTTGAAATGAAACTCACTTTCGAAATTTGATTTTTATCAAAAATAATTTTTTCCCTTATCTCTTCCGGTGGCCTGTGTTTTGTTAATAAGATGCCTTCTTGTACCAATAGTTTAGATTTTCACTTCCCTTTTTCACTCAATCTTCATTGTCATTGTAATGCACTCTTTTCAATTTGCCACTTATCCAAAATAACCCTTTTTTTTAAAACTTAAAAATACATTTAATTTTTAAATAATCCTCAAATGGTTGATAAACCGTAAAATTACTTTTTCCTTTCCTTTCTTCTTTTCTTTCCTTTTCTTCCTTTTTTGCCTTTCAAATCTGCCTGGATGCATTAATAAAAATACATTTTCATTTTAAAAATATAAATCAGCAATATATTTTTTTGATAAAAAATTACCAAAAAATTTAAATTGTTCAGAATTTCGTCCTCATCTTAAAAGAAGTTATTTATCAATAATCTTTCTACAGAATTTACAATTGTCCTCCTTGAGCAGACTAAATGTTGATTATGAAATCCTTTAACAGAAATTGAGGGTTGACTAAAATTTAAATATTTTGTAAGTTCTAATGGATGGGACGGAAAATGTTATTTTTCTGAAATTCATCATTGCAATTCTCCATCGCCTTAACCAGGTATTGAACTCAAGCTTTAAGAAACATGAAATATGTATTTCACAAAAACATCCACTGTTATCAAAGTCCTCCTTTAAAGCAACATCTTGACTTTAACATACGAAGGTATTATAAAATTGAATGTCTTCAAAAATCATTTTTTACCTGGTTAGAACTTGAAGGGAATTAACAGGAGATAACTGATAACCTTTATCCATTAGACATGGCAAAAAACTAGAAATCAGTCAAACCCAATGAAAAAATAAAGAAATAACGACATCAAAAAAACACCTGAAGAAAGCGAGTTGATATTTAAAAATCGAAATTTTTTGTTGTAAAATTTTTGAAACAAAGATGAGGACAATTTTCGAACAATTTAATATAGTGTACATTCAAACCTCATCTCAGAAATATAGACGGGTAACATGGAAATATCGAAATTTAACAGAAGATAACTGATAACTGACATCCATTATAAATGGCCCGAAAATGGAAACTTTAAAAGTTCACCCCAGCGAGCAAAATAAAGGGTTTTTCGACATTTTAACTACCTGAAGAAAAAAACTATTTAAATGGAATTTCAAACGTTGTGATAAATGGACAAAGCTTTAAGACGATATTGCGAATAATGTAAATAATGTACATAATACCTCATTTCAAAATATAGACAGGTTGGAAATTAACAAAGCTCACAAAAAAATTATTTTTTTTTTTTTATCCTATAAGGATTTGATATTTTTTAAACAAAAAGCCACACGAAAAAGATTCCGTTCTCCATTGTATCACAATGTACGAATAAAAAAATGAAAATTTTTTTGCATATTGTTTCAAATTTATTATTCTACAGAATAATACTTAGAATAATTAACCCAGAACTGAACATGTTGAAAACGATTTTTTTTAAAAAAAATTATCAAAAAAATAACTTTCTATCAGAAAATCAATCAAGTTGAAATTTGTAATCAATATAATGAGGAAATTTTAATTGGAAAATTAAATACTATTTTTCAAATGGTAGTAGACAGGAATAGAGAAAAGCAATAAAATATATATTTTTCGATTATATAAACAGAAAATATATTAAATAATTGTTAATATATATATATATTTTTAATATATTATATTTATATATATATATTTATTTTTTATATATATTTTATTTTAAGATATATTTCATATTTTTATATATATTTATATTTAAGATATATTTCATATTTAAGATATATTTACATATTTTTATATATATTTCATATTTAAATGTATATTTCATATTTTATATATATTTCATATTTAAGATATGTTTTTTTATTTAAAAGATATATTTCATATTTTTATATATAATTCATATTTAATATATAATTTTTATTTAATATATATTTTTATTTTTATATATATTTCATATTTAAATATATTTCATATTTTTATATATATTTATATATTTAGATATATTTCAGAACAGATATGATCGTTTTGGAAAGATCTATCGACATTTGTTGTTTTTTAACCCTAATTTGGACTTTTGTAACAAGTGTTATAGTACAACGTCAAAATCAAATAACGGTTCTTAATAAAAAACCGGTTCAATTCCTGTTTATATTTTCTGTTTAAATTTAACATTCAAACTTTCTAAATGTAATTAATTCTGTTTTTAATAAAAATTAATATAATGTAAATATATATATATATATAGAAATTAAAATCAGTTATAATTTCAAACATTTGAAGAGTTAGAAAACATAATAGCTGATTAAGTCAAATCTGTATAATAAATGCGAAATGGGAGCGAAATTTTTTTACGAATTTTGGGCTTAAAAAATTATATTTTCCAAGAATAGTTATTTTTAAACATAAAAAAACTCAATATCTATA